CTATGAAGCACACCAAACACACCTGTAGTTTAGTTATGGAACACACCTAACAAACCTGTAGTTTAGCTATGAAGCACACCTAACACACCTGCAGTTTAGCTACATGAAAAGCACACCTAACACACCTGCAGTTTAGCTATGACACACCTAACACACTCAGAAGTTTAGTTATGAAGCACACTAACACACCTGCAGTTTAGCTTTGAAGCACACCCCAACACACATGCAGTTTAGCTTTTGAAGCATAATTTAACACACCTGCAGTTTAGCTATGAAAGCACACCTAAACATTACCTGCTGGTTTAGCTGCTGTGAAGCACACTTAACACACCTGCAGTTTAGCTTTGAAGCACACCTACACACCTGCAGTTTAGCTTCAAGCACACCTAACACACCTGCAGTTTTGTTATAGAACACACCTAACACACCTGTAGTTTAGTTATGAAGCACACCTAACACACCTGTAGTTTAGTTATAGAACACACCTAACACACCTGTAGTTTAGCTATGAAGCATACCTAACACACCTGTAGTTTAGTTATGGAACACACCTAACACACCTGCAGTTTAGCTATGAAGCACACCAAACACACCTGTAGTTTAGTTATGGAACACACCTAACAAACCTGTAGTTTATTACAGTAATCATTATTCTACTACCTGAGGCGCCAGAGTTAGCGTCTAGACTCAGCTTAACGTGTAATCTCATTTAAGGTTCTTATGTTAAAGTGTGACAGGTAATAAGAAATTAGACAATATAAAAAAAAATTATTATAAGAAGGATTTAGTTTGACTTAATATTAATCTACTTTTAAACCAAATTATAGTGGTAATAAATAATTTTAATATCATGTTACTCAAATGCGACCTTATTTAATGCCAGGTTACTTTTACACCCTATTTTGGTTAGGTTAGGTTTGTCTTAAGAAATGGGAAGTACAGTAAACTGGGTTAGTGGGTAGGAGAGAGATGGGGAGGAAGAGTAGGAGGGAGAGAGAGAGAGGGAGAGTAAAAAGGAAAGAGGAACGGAGTGAGGGTAGAAGAGAGAGGGAGGAAGGATAAGATGAAGAGTGGAAGAGAAGGAGGGAGAGTAAGAGGGATAAGGAAGGGAGGGAAAGAGGAAGATAAGAGGGAGGGAGTGAGGAAAGGAAGGAGGGCGAACCACTAGCTGCTTCCTCTTGTGGCAGCAGGAGACTGGGTGCCGCTTTAACACACTAAAACCAGACACATTCACCTTACATGTCCTAATAATTGTCTTTATTCTTTATATAGAGGTTCCTTTAAGCGTGCTCGTTAATATAGAGGTTCCTTTAAGTGTGCTCGTTAATATAGAGGTTTCTTTAAGCGTGCTCGTTAATATAGAGGTTTCTTTAAGCGTGCTCGTTAATATAGAGGTTTCTTTAAGCGTGCTCGTTAATATAGAGGTTTCTTTAAGCGTGCTCGTTAATATACAGGATCCTTTAAGCGTGCTCGTTAATATAGAGGTTTCTTTTAGCAATATCACAGTGTGACTGAAAACCAGATTTCACTCTTTATTCTTACGATACAGAAAGACCGCTGTTGAGATCATAAATCATCAATGCGATAAAATTGAGCGTTACTTTACCTTCCACTGAAGGTTTGTTATTGATTCCCGGAAAATACCAGAGCTTAACAAATTTACTAGACGTGGACGACGTGATTACAGGTCTAATTTTTCACTCGTAAGATATTTTCCTTACTCCGTGAATAGGAACTGGATTGCATTTATTCGCCAGCTCAGGATATATATGTCTCATTCAAGTAGTGGTAGTGAACAGAGGGGGCTACAGTACCAATCACTTTTCTTAAGGACAATAACAGAACTCTTCAGGGAGTGTGTCTCGTATCTCTTACAACAGGGTCGACTGAGAGAGGTGTTCAGAGGATGTTTAGATTCAAGCAATTAGGGCTTTTAATTGCAGTGACTAGCAAGTTTCAATCGCCTGGTAATGTTTCCAATTAATCAATTACAATTTGGGAAATGGTCTCTTGCATAATTATGTCTTTTTCTTGATATATTAAGAGTAATTTAAGTGTTTAGTATGAATATAATATCATAGACTAAGAGACACACGGGCACAGTACACTGGCTTACCATCACTTAGCAAAGCAACCAGAATCTTAACCATCACATAATGAAGAGTAAAAGCAACAGATTTAAACATATCTTTATGAGACAGATTGACTTTAACAACTTCTTCAATCAGAAACTTTCCTCGTATAAATTATTTCAAATCTGAAGGTCTAATTAGCTATCTGATGAATATATTAATATGCTAATTGGAAAAGTTAGTTAGTATGTATGATCGGTTTGGTATTTACCTTTTAAGTCAAGTGTGTAAAGAACAGGTGAGAGAGTTCAGGTGTGTAAAAGTGAGAGTATAAGGGTTCAGGTGTGTAAAGGTGAGGTGAGAGAATTCAGGTGTATAAAGGTGAGGTGATGAGGTGGAAGGGTTCAGGTGTCTAAAGGTGAGGTGGGAGGGTTCAGGTGTGTAAAAGTGAGGTGTAAGGGTTCAGGTGTGTGAAGGTGAGAGTGTAAGGTTTAAGGTGTGTAAGAGTGAGGTGTAAGGGTTCAGGTGTGTAAGATAAAAAAATTCATCATTCAGGTTTAATTTTTCAAGAAGTAACAAGTATAAGAGTGTTACAATAGCAATGTTACAGTGACAGATGTTGCAGTGACAGGTGTTACAGTGACAGATGTTACAGTGACAGGTGTTACAGTGACAGATGTTACAAAGACAGGTGTTACAGTGACATGTTGCAGTGACAGGTGTTACAGATACAGGTGTTACAATGACAGGTGTTACAGTGACAGGTTTTACAGTGACAGGTGTTACAGTGACAGATGTTACAGTGACAGGTGTTACCGTGACAGATGTTACAGTGACAGGTGTTACAGTGACAGATGTTACAAAGACAGGTGTTACAGTGACATGTTGCAGTGACAGGTGTTACAGATACAGGTGTTACAGTGGGAGGTATTATAGTGACAGGTGTTATAGTGACAGGTGTTACAGTGGGAGGTATTATAGTGACAGGTGTTACAGTGGGAGGTATTATAGTGACAGGTGTTATAGTGACAGGTGTTACACTGGGAGGTAGTATAATGACAGGTGTTACAGTGGGAAGTATTATAGTGACAGGTGTTATAGTGACAGGTGTTATAGTGACAGGTGTTATATTGACAGGTGTTACAATGAGAGGTGCTGTAAAGTGATGGCCGATGCAGGTGTTTACGTCACAATACTTGGTTCATTTCCCTCCAGTTATGAAAATATGATTGTTATATAAATTTACTTTTTTTTTTACTAATTTTCTAAAATCTTTACACTACGCCATTATGAGTTCACTGTACCTTTATAATTTATTAAAGGATTTTTTTTTTGTAAGTTGACCTGGTTTATATTTTTTGTAAGTAGACCAATACACATACGTGAATACTATAAAGGTCATCTAATTTGCTATGGATTTCATATTGATGATTAAATTATTTATAGCTATTGATAAAAAAGTTACTGGGAGCTTTTGTTATGCTGCTGGGGGGTATTAGTCGAGTGTTGACCTCTTTATACACGGTTCTCCGAGGCTGTATTCATAATGGTAGAATACTTCCTGTTGGCTCTCTCTCTCTCTCTCTCTCTCTCTCTCTCTCTCTCTCTCTCTCTTGTAAATAAAGTACATAGAAGGTAATTCCGCCTTGTAAATAAGGTGGTGACTGTAAGATACCAGGAACCCAGTGCAGCAGAACTAACAATGTAGGTTACGTGTTGTGGCCAAGGAGGTTGTGGGAATTATGTTGTGTTTGTGGGGGAGGTGTGGGAGGGGTGGGTGAGAGAGGGGAGTGGGAGGGTGGGAGAGAGGGGGGAGGGGTGTTGGTGTGGGAGGATGGGAGAGAAGGGGAGGGGTTGGTGTGGGAGGGATGGGAGAGGGGGAGGGTGTTGGTGTGGGAGGGATGGGAGAGAGGGGGAGGGGGTTGGTGTGGGAGGGATGGGAATGATGGGGACAGGGAGGAAAGTGGATGAAGAGGAGTGTGAAATGGTGGATAGCTTATATAATGAAGCCACACACACACACACACACACACACACACACACACACACACACACACACACACACCCCGCCTCCAGTCCTCTTCCACATCATCACCGCCACAACTCCAGCTTTGTCATCAGGCCTCAGTAATGTATTGCTCTCGTAATACTGATCGTCTACACTGGAACCAACGCCATTTTTGTCTAGTTTGAAGCAAAAAAAAAAAAGTTCTGGTTATTTTCCGGAAACTCCAATATCGGTTGGAACAATTTTATTCCCAGCGACAAGACCCGATTGTTTGGACGACGTAATTTGAATATTCCATTTGTTTTGTAGCTTTTCAAAACGTGTTTAGTGGGCCTGGCGACCGTGGCTAGCTTTAGCCCGGCTCTCTCATCGTCACCCACTAGTGATAATAAGCAGTACGTTATCACGCTGACAGGTACACACAAGTCCCACCATAATCATGTTCACACAGTACACATTTTACCTACAGCTTGACGCTACTAAAGGTGATAATTTACACCTGAGGAAGTTTATGATGGTTGTGGGGGAGCGTACAAGTTCCATAACAGGAGATGTGATTTAGCACCTTTTGGGTTATTCTCTGTTTTCTAGATCTAATTCAAGTCATTTGTTTTACCTGACAAGGGCAGCAGATGGCTGTGGCAGTGGTAATTACACTGTCTATTGATGCTGTCATTCCTAATCCGATTTATGGCTGAGACTCCTGACATAATTTATTGCTGTCATTCCTTCCATCTTTTTTACTATAAATCCTAACGTAAACTTTTTCTATCACTCCTAACATAATTTATTGCTGTCATTCCTTCCATCTTTTTTACTATAAATCCTAACGTAAACTTTTTCTATCACTCCTAACATAATTTATTGCTGCCATTCCTCACATAATTCTTGACTGTCATTCCTAACACCATTATTCTTTCCACAGAGCAACGAGGAGTGTGTTGAGAGGAAGCACGGTGGTGGGTGTTGTGACTCTTGTGACGCTGGCAGGCCTACACACCGTCACGACTGCCTACGTCGTCGGTAAGGCCATTGATTTTATGTCTCTAAGATGTGTGTGTGTGTGTGTGTGTGTGTGTGTGTGTGTGAGTATAGCAAAGATCGCTTGTTGGAACATCTGACTTGTGTATAATCGGTGTGTATGTGTCGCTGTGTTGAGCTGGTGACTCGTTACTACACTGAATTCTCTTAGCGACACTGTGTAGCGTTACGGTCATAGTTGAGTTCACTATTTCACTCTATTCCTTTATTGACGATGTTTTAAGCTATGGCACTGAGGATGATGGTTTAACTTATAACCCTTTAAAGACGAGGGTTTAACTATAACTCTTTAAAGGTTGATGGTTTAAGTTATAACCCTTTAAGGACTATGGTTTAAGTTATAACCCTTTAAGGATGATGGTTTAAGTTATAACCCTTTAAGGATGATGGTTTAAGTTTTATATATTTTCAGTATGCAAGTGTTTGTGTTTTTCAACTTTGTCTTTTTTATTACACTTCTCTTCTACTTCTCTCTTCATTTGTTCATCTCCTTCTTTATCATTTCCACATTTTCTTGGTTTTCCTTCTTCATATCTCCCCATCCCATTTACGTGGAAGATGGTAAAGATGATAGCCGTATGTAAATTTTCTATACAATCTTTAAAATCAACGGAATGTAATCACAGACACTTTGCATATTTCTGTACGTCTGGCTCCATGAACAGTTCTATTTTAAATTTCAGCTAATTGAACCTAATACTATTTCTTTATAATTAAATTTTTCCGAATGGAGTTGAGGAGAAAGTAAAATTTTGTACTTCGTTAATGAAACAATTCCTATAATATTACATTAAAAGAAATATATTATATATTTTCTTGCTGTGAAAAATATATAGAAGGGAATTTTTTTTGTTCCCCGAATCAAGGAAAAAATGAATTATGGTAAAACATTCATATATTCTCAACTTACTCGGGAGAAATTCTTAAAAAACTTGAACATATTTACAGAAGAAACAAAGTTGGTTACATAAGTACAGAGATAAACAATAAACAAGAAAAATACAATTTGATACATAAATGAAGAAAAATACAGTGATGCTCATATATAATCCAGTAAAATAATACAAAATTATTCTTATACATAATACATTAAAATTATACAAATTTGTTCCTTCATAAATATATATAAAATAAAAAAATAATTATTATCTTTACCGAAGGAAGAGCGTCTCACGTTTATCAGTATAAGGTGTATAATATATTTTGTTTAGTATATTAACCACGTTTCTCAGACACTTAGAGAGCAGTAACTAACAGCTTGGTATAGCGACTTATTTAACATATTGGATACAAAGATAAACTATAAATCTAACGTTAAGAAAGAAATGAAAGTATGAAATACTAATATATATCTTTCAATATTTTACATAGGTATTGTTAGAACATTTCAAGATTTCAATAAGACGCAGAACATGTCACCACTTTTTCAATATTTAAGAGAAAAATATAAATTGACACGAAAAATCTCCTGATATTTCTGTGTGGCTGGTGGCGTCATATGAGGAATTAATGCTTAAGTGGAACAAGTGATAAAGAACGTTGACGTCTGCTTTATGTCACTCAGTTGCTCTTTATATTAAATATTTGGGATTTTGTTTAGAATTTCCTGTATGTTGTAGGTCACTGTAATTAAACAGGGCATATTCATGAGTAAAAAAAAACCATTATGTAAAGTTATCGTATTTCAGTAAAATATGGATAATTTATTGAAGATTGGACTGAAGTAGATAAGTTATTTATATTTTTTTTAATGAAGTTTTTAGCAGATATCACGTGAAACAGTTATCTCTGTATATATGTACAGTCTTTTTCGGTTTGGCTAAAATTAAATCTAATTCCTTATTAATGCATCAGTCAGTATTATCTAATTAATTTCTTTGAAGACATAATGAAATTTGTCTTTGAAATAACTAATTGATATTATGGATAATTAAGAGGAAAGTAATTTTATTTTTTTTTTTCGTAAATATGATTAACTGGTAAAATAATAAAATCATTTCTAGCGTCAGTTTGATGGAGTCGTCCGCTGCTGTCGACCAAATTTATGAACACTGAATAAATTGCAACTTCGCTCGTCCATCTCAACTATTGTTATGGCCGGCCATCTGTCCACAGTCCGTATATAAACTTATCATATTTTTAATTCCGTCTACAAAAAAATCTAGCGGCTCAACTTTTTAGATACACTTAAGAAATGTTCTTTAATAATTTGCTCTCAAAACTGTGTCCAGTGTTACCGGAGAACACCCAAGATGGCGGCTGGTAATGTAAGCGGAAGAAAACTAAAGAACTTCTTGCTCAAAACTTTGTGTCAGTTTTTGCTGAAACTTTGTAGGATTGTAACTTGGTTGGTTCCCTTCAAAGACGTGTAAGCCTCGGTGTTGACCACCTTAGAGGCAGGTTAAGTCCTGCTGAGACTCTGTTGTTGTTGGGCGATCACCGACTGTGACGTCACGCCGAAGCCCTCCCCCTGAGGTCCAATTAAAGGATTTTTTGTTTGGTCTTTTGAAAAAGGTTTTACTTTAAACCTTTGTTATGGGAAAAAATTCTAGTTTTAATAATTTTATGAACAGCGATCATAATAACACTGAAAAAATGGGTATGAAGTTGACCTTTAATTGAGCAATAACTCTCACTATTTCCCGTAATAACCCAACAGTCAAGTACCGATTGTTCCCAACATATTGCTGCAGCGCCCAGACAACTGTTTCCTGAATTCTGTATCCCCAGACCCTCGACACATCTCCTCATTAAAGAGCTAAATTAATATGGGTCGCTTATTAACCTGTTTTAGCTATTATACAAACATATCCAGTTTGTATAATAGTGAGGTGTTATTAATAACTTAGAGTCAACTCCACCTATTATGTTAAAGGATAACTATGTCAATAACACAACATATTTCTGTTCTTTTTGCATCTCATTTATTCCTTCCATATCTCTTCCATATTTCTTTTTTAAATAAATTAATACGTAATTTTAGGTCTATTCCCTCATTTTTTTTTTTTTCATTCATTTCTTCTTTACCTGTTTAATTAAGTGCGAGTGTTGTGGCGTCAGGTGTGGGTGTCTGGATATTAACCTTTAATCTTCACTTTTATATCTCTGGACCCAGTTCATTACAGTACACATTCACTACCTGGAATAACTGTGAATATTAAATTATAATAAATTTCCCTCTGTAGTTAATATTACTTTATTAACCTACAGGTCAGTTCTACGTTGTGGATGTTGTAAAGAGTCACACACATTTTGTTTTTCTTAGCACACACACACACACACACGGTGCTGACCAGATGAAAGATTTAAGCATATAATTTAAGATACAACTCGTGAAATGACAGCTGGACCGGCAAAGTTAGAATCACTACAGAGAGAGAACCGTGTGTGAGGTGTGTTGTGTGGAAAGTGCTACTGGTAAAATATACAACATCCACAGTCTACGCTAGATGAATGTTTGTGAGTATGATGATGAATGTTGCTGGTAGTTGAGAATAATGATGGAAAAGTAGCAATACGATATTAGACGATGCGATTAGGAGTAGAAATTATAAATAAAATAAATTATATACATGTGAATTAGTTTAGCTGTAGGAATGTAACTATATATTAAAATGATTACGATATGATCCACACTAACAGTTTGATCGAGGTACAAATGAGGAAAATAATTAATATAGAAAATAAAGAACTTAATTATGAATAAACAAAATAGAGATTAAAGAAGAAAATAAAATAGAACACATGTGAAATAAAAGAGATAGAAACTAATATAGAAATTGAGTTAATATAATTGCGTTCATATATATTTCTTGGAATTTCGTGTATATTAGGAATTTTAGTATAGCATCTTGTTAGGCTGCTATACACTAAAAATAATGGGGCGAAACTTTGCTTTGATTACTTTGCTATGAGATAAAGAACTACAATAGATACGAAAAATCTCTTTGTAAATGTTTGGCAAGAAAAATAGTATTCTATGCCCTAAGGAAGCATTTAGCAAACACACTTGGAGGGGAGAATGTTATTGTGTCTTAAGCATCTCACACCAGAATAGTTAGAGAAGGATAATAATAAGAAGGTGAATAGACAGAGCGAAAAGGGAGGTAGAATGAGAGGTGCAGGATAATAATGGAGAATGGATAACACACCTACACAATCACAATCATCAACCACAACATACCTGTACAATTACGTTCAATACCCATCACATATTTGTACAATCACATTCACCTTCCATAACACATCTGTACAATCACTCTCAGCATAACACACCTGTATAATCACATTCACACCTGCACAATGACACTCAGTACCCTTAACACGCGTACAATCACACTCAACAATCATATCACACTTGCACAATCACACTACAGAAGCAGAACTGTGTGGTCTTAAGCTTTCATAGCCCTAACAAGCTGCTACACTTGTATATATGCAAATTTTGCTCATGTTAAATTAGCGTACACGTATATGAACTTACGCAGAAGAACAACTAACTTCTTCTGTTATGAGTAATAAGGAAATAACATATGCCAGATCTGTTAATTACGCTCGTAACTTTTAATTAAAGTCGTCATGAATTATCTTCACATCTTCACCGTGTACTGTTATGTGACACACACTCACACACACACACACACACACACACACACACACACACACACACACACACACAGTGCCAAACCTACAGGCAGCTATAATTGTGCGTCTCCATCGTGCCTGTCAGCAGAGGGCGACCAATTATCTTAATTATCCTCAATTATAGAAGCAGAACGACGCCTCTCTCTCTCTCTCTGCTGTTCCTGGGGAGGGCCTTAGTCTGTTTGTCGTATGTTTAATCTCTCTAATCTTATCATCATTAATTATGGTCTTCCCA